TACAAAGCAGCTACTAGTGACAGGATATAAGGAGCAAACTCCTGCTTGGCCCTATGGACCAGCAGAGCAAAATCATGCTTGAATCTGTTCTTCCAGGATGTAAAGGACGGCTGGATCCCTCTGAAGTGTTTATCATTCCTTTCCTTCCAGATCCCCCAGGCCACCACCGTGAACACCTCCATGAACATGTGTCCATTCCAAGAGTTTTTACCAGCGGAGTAGTTGCCTGGAAGGATGGACAATGGTACACCTGACCACCAGTATATTTCGCCAGAGAACCTACACATTACATATCACGGTAGGTAAGAGAAATTTGGAAATACTATAGGAACTTCTCAACCGAGGTTGTCAATGAATTGTCACCTAAGGAAGCTATGTCACAATACTTGTCACTCAAAGAAAATATTTCCACAGCGATCTGATTTTTCGTGAACTCAGCAGCCATCTGTTTATAGAAGGGATCTTCTGGTATCCTCAGAATATGCTCCTTGTCTGTTCCATATGCACGGACATCATCTCCTCGAAGTCTCAAACGGCCAATACCAAGAGATGGCAATGTACTCTGGGAGACAAGCAACTTACCCCCAGTTTGAACCTATAACAGGAATGACAAAATTGTGCAGAGACTAAATCATTTAACAGAGGGCACACAAGAACAAACAACAAGTACATCAATAATAATCCATCAATGATCTTACCATAACCACGAATGCTGCTCCAAGTGCAGGACCATGAGAAGATTCTACATTTACATTGTCCTGAAACATATTGGGCAAGCTGTCAAGAAAGGACTCGATACCATGTCTAGAATCAACCAAATTCACCAAGAGATCGTCGGGCAATGGCAGGAAAACAGCGTCCAAATCGGCAACTACCATCATTTCAGGACGTCAGTTCTTGATGGTATCATCGAGAATTCTCGCATCCAGGCCCCGTGCATGAATTCTCGATGGTATTGTGTTGACCTTTCTTTGTTCAAAAATCTGTAGTGAATGATCCATCGGCCTCCTCATCCCAGCCGAGTGGTCAGCCGGGACGAGCGGCGCGAGCGCCGAGCAGGCCGCCGGCCTGAGTGGCTATGGCGCGGGCAGACAGGGCGATCAGCGATTTCGGACGAGCGGAGAGAGCAGCAAGCAGCCGAGTGGCGCGGACGACAACGGCGACAAGATCTGTGCAGCTCGTTCTCCTCTACTCGAACAGATGCATAAACAAATACAGATAGTCAGATATTGACGTGTACTGTGTACATAGAATCACGGGGTAGTTTGGTCTTTTCCTGTGCTTATAAATGGAAAAGGAAAAAAGGAAATCACTAAAAGGAGGGAAGTGGCATGGTAATCAAGGAGCCAACGGCAGAGTGGCAATTCTGCGAAACCAATCTTGAAAGTGGAAAGTGGCAACTTTGAGAAGCCACATATTAAAAGTGGCAAATATCCAATTTTCTCACACCTGAGTTTGTCGCAGGAAAAATGGAAGAAGCCCAGCTTATCCAATCCCAAGCATATCTAGGGTCCTCGCTTCGTCGGCTCCATCCCCGATTCCTCGCATCCTCAAATGAGCAACCTGTACATACAGAAAGAGAAGATCGTTCAGGGAATCGGTAGAAAACAAGGAGGAATCGGCTGCAGCGGCAATGTCCATCGATTTGCTCAATGGGAGTAGGAGCGGAATGGGGAACAAGAAGAAAGAGGAACAAGGGACAAGAAAGGACGGCGGCGAGCTGATCGATCGGAACGAAGCTGGCTGCCCTAGTAGGCTAGCTGATTGGGCTATGGCGATGGGCTTTAAGGCCCTTTTTTTTACTCCATGGTGGCCCGGTCCATGTAAAAGGTAAAAATGTTGGGCTGTATAATAAATACCTAGTTTTTCTCAAAAC